GAATTCTACATAACATGGAACCTGCTCCATCTTATCGCTTCCATATCAGTCATTTTAACATTTTATTTTAAATATAAAACGGCCATTTCAACTGTTTTCCTACGCGAAATAAATTGTAATATCTTGCTTGGAAAAAGAACATAAATTACAGGATTTTTCCCAGATTTCAAGAAAAATTTTGGTCCTAAAAGTATGAATTAGATGGGCGATGTGTAGTATTACGTATCTAGGAACGTAGTCTTTTATAGAAGCCACTGAAGTTTTTCACAATATTGAAATCTGTGTTACCATTATGGATTTTTCGTGTTTCTGCGTTGTGGGAATCAAGGCGTAAAGACACAATATTGATAGGAAATCGCTCGGAAAACTACCACATGGAAGATGGATGAGGATATCGGATGCAATATTGGGATTGACCGTGGATGAACGAATTGTGAGAATTGAGGGTGTCCAGTGGCCCAAATTTTGCAATGTCATTGCCGAGATTTGACTTTCTTTTATTATATTCCTGTTGTTACTGAGCTTTATACTTGTTCATGTTTTGAATCATGTATTTTCAATTCCGTTCTCGAAATCTGCTTATATTTTTCCGACCGTATTTAGTCGGGAGATAAAGCAACATGTCTTCTGCGCGAAAACACTAGGACTGTAGGGACATAATTTCTAATATTCTTCAGGTCAGAAACATTGTGACTTAAAAGCACTTAAACGATGGACATATTCGAAAAGAAACATTAACGTACAAACACTTTGCGCTACGAACATCAGACAACTATAAAATTAATTCAATTTTTTATTTACTGAAGTGATCATGTGGTCCATGAAACCACCAATTTCGACTGTTATTTGCAAATTATGTGTTCCCGAAACAGTGTTATTGAAATTGAATAACGGATATTTTTAATGGCTGTATTCGTTAATTTAACAGTTCGTTAAATTTTGCTGGGAACGAAGCCCGATTTGTTGACCCATTACAACGAATGATTGATGTTATTTTGGGATTGAATTATTGTTGAGCCAACGAATATGGCGTGTATTCAAATTTGGTTTGAAATCATATAGGCAGCATGTCTAAAATGTAAATCAAAATTGGATTTTAGATTGCAATTGCCAAATATAAATGAAAGTTTTTTTGATTTGGGTTAAACGTGAACCAATGGCAAAACAAGAATGAAAAATTGTATGGAAAGAATAGGTGGGGGCCTGGCATATACTTGGAGGTTTTGAGGAAAACCACGAAAAACTCAGTTACTGTAGCCGGTTAAGTGGGAGAGTCTTGAACCCGAGCCTACAGAATACGCAGAAGGAATTTTAACCACTCGAGTGCGACATTCGGTATGTGAAGATGTTATTAAAATGAATCTTAAACAATGTGAGAGGGCGTGGTGTGGTTCAAAATGGATGCAATTAGCGACATCTGGTAAATGCGGTAGTAAACTTCGAATTACAGAACTTTCTTGACCGTCAAAGCTAATATCGATTTGTGAATAAGATCTTTTCTCCATTTGGTGATTACATAGTCAATACATAGCTGCATGAAGAGAAGAGTAGAACCAGCTTCCGAAACGTCGTATATATTAAATATACCTCAGACAGTATAAAATGCGGTGTAATCAAAGCATGTGGAAAGCCAGAAATTCACAAATGAAGGTGTTATTTGAAGAGCTTGTATTGGGGAGCATTCCGCGGTCCGCATGTTTGTTGTTTGTCATTGCAGTAATACTGTGTTTCTGCTCTTGTGCAGTGAAAGGGTCCTCCAGCCAGTGCAGTGCCTCTGTCGTCATGGTTGCGGTCATGACGTCACTCCTTCTCTCGACTGTCACGTGACTTGGTCATCATCTTTAATCTGTTAACTACCACAACGTAACGAGTTTGATTCACATCAGATTTCTCGGATACAGAAATTGACTCTATCCCGTTCTAAGTGCTGAAGAGTTTCCTAAATACTGAAGAATACGTAATCAGCAGTCCTGAAAGGGTGTCGATTATCACAGAAATCTATAGTAAAGTTTAAATCGAGTGGAAGGGGTTTGTCTTTCTCAGTTAGATCTCATGTGATATTTAGCATGGATGATTTGCCAATGTAATTGATACAGATTTTCATACAATAAAAATCCGCTCTCAAGAATATCAACTGAAGATAAAATACTGTAGGTGGACGCTGTGGAAAATGTGGCGAGTCATTGTCAAATTTAAATCCTGTATCAGGCCAAGTTCGTTCTGTTCCCTTTTATACTCGACAAATTTTCTCGGTGATTGACAGGCATCAGCTTAATTTTTAAAGCCCTTAAATCGTATTTTATTTTAATTTATCGTCATAACTTAATGTGCTGTAATATTTCAGGAAACACGTACTCTGCCGAGAACAGGAACTACTAAAATAATTTTCGACGCTTAAGGAAAGTAGTCGCAATATGTGGCAACAGGGTGCTGGGAATGTAGCACGCATAGGGCAGAATAAAACATTTAATCTGAAATCATGAAGGGAAGAAGCCACGTGAGGCTTCTTTGCGTTTGTAGCATGTTAATATTAAAGTTTATCTTATAAATAATTTTTTGTGACGTATGGACTGAATTTGTTTGACATTCGGGTTTAATGAAAGGATGAGAATTTGTTGACTGAGATACTGTCACCTTATCGAAAAGGGATCTATTGTGTAATCAATTCAATTTTTTTACCTTGGTGCAGACTATATATATAGATATAAGGATGAGGATAGCTCATCCAAGTGACCCAGCAGATAGGCTTTCTGCCCTCTTCTCCCTTTCTTACCTGAAGAAGGAAGCCTAATATAGCTTCCGAAACGTTCTAATTTTATTAATTTATCATTCGGAAGATCGTAAATTTCAGAAGAACAATCTTACATACTCCAACAAATTGTCTTCAGGATCCATTACACTTGGACAATTTAATTCAGGGCTGAGAAGATTCCGTGTTTAAAATATTGTTTTACAGAATCTTACAGTTTAATCCAGATCGGGCCGTTTACTAAATTTGAAACTCATTTGTCTTTATATATGTGACTAGTAAACAAATATGTTATGCCATATCAAATGAATCCAGCTGTAAGGTTACGCGAATCGTAATCTGGGTGTTAGTATCATGAAGCTGTAGGGAATCACTGCTGCCTTAGTCTTCAAGGTAACCCTTGTTACTTGTTCAAAGGTTGGTGGTAAAAGTTACTGATTTTTTATTCATGATACCATTAAAAATCTAGACAATGATCAGTTCAAGATTGAGAGCTAGAAAATGTTATATTTCTGACATTATTACATGTACGTGTCTAAAGTACTTCGTGAAACTAATTGGAAATCTGAATGTTAGTGAGCGATATAATAGTTTAATCAAACGGGTTTGGGCATGAGTTTTAGAAAAAAAAAACATAGAAATGATATCGCGTGCAGTGGACAGCTGAAGGAACATTTTACCACAGCTCAGTGAGTGTGAATGTTCAGAACTTATGGATCGTCTCTGTCCGTGATGAAATTCTGTTTCTATTATTCTAATCCAGGGAGGTAACATCGTATATTCTCAAACCAGAACAAAACGATTTAGCAGCGAAATGGTGAGCAACGTTACAGAATTTGAATTGTTCCTTGTAAGGCGATATGAATAATACTGACGCATGTAGCAGTCGGGATGTCAGTTTTCTGTACACAAAAGACGGTTGTGTTTTCAAGCTCATCAACAGAATGAGTTTTGCTGTCTTTAAAACGTTCAGCAG